CTGGGTTCATACCCTTCTGAATGGGACCAGCAGATGGGAGATACTCTGGGGCAGGCTTCTCCTTTCCTCACATCCAAGGAGATCCTCTTTCGATGATACTTGTTTAGCAATCACAGAAGGTGATGTAGCTGTTTACTCACACACTTGCCTTTAGGTGGTCAAGTTCCCATCTGCTCTCCTTTCCTTTCCATGGACTTGGTCCAGTGAGAATGCTCTGCCATGTCATGACACAACTTCATAGTGCAGCCTGTTTTGAAAGATAAGGCATGGAGCCCACTCTTCTTCTCTCCCCGTCCTCAGCAAACTTAGGGGTTCGCTGTGTTGGTTGCATTTCTAGGCAATTCAGTTGTAACTGAGAATCTCTAGATTCCTGCATGCTGGGATGGCCAGATAAATTTCAACCAGCAGTGGTTTTCCTGCAGTTGGACTACCTCAAAATTTGCCTGTGTGTGTTCTTTTCACTAGAACGAGGCTAGAGCCGCAACTGGTAGGAGAAAATACGTCCTGATGGGGAACTCTGGTGTTTTGGAGGGCCTGGAAGTTGGTTTTTCAGCCAGGGCTTATTTTTCTCCAGACCTGTCACCCCTGCAGTTTCACAGAGGCCTTGAGCCAAAGCTGGTACAACGGCAAGTGCCTCCATATCGTTGCAAGGTCTCTGTGGCATGTATGGCTCTGCCAATTGCTGCACCCTCATTTGGGGGTCACCCTCGTTCCCCTCATTTTCCCCCAAATTAGGACCAGATTTTCAGGCCAGGTGGTTTCTGCCAGATGGTTTCTTCAGCCCTTCTTCAGCATGCAGGGGGGAACCCGTGGTTTGGCCTTCCTGGGCCTGGCCCAGCCCCCCAGTTACTGTCAGTGAGATGCCTGAGCCTGGGCGCCCGATACTGGCTGGAGACCTTCTAAATGTGCTAGGCCTCCATCTCCCGTGCTGCAGGGATGCAAGGAGAACTCCACCGTGTCCTCCATCCTGCTTAGAGAGTCTGCGCGATGGGATCTGGGTTTGTCCAAAACATGTTCTGTTTCTGTTGCCCCACACATCTGATGGTCTATGTACATGGGACATCTCATATTTTCCAGGACTTGGGTTCAGCTAAACCAGGCTCTTCTGTAGCAGTGCTCTAGTGTAGCCCTGATGTGTCTTGAACGTTTGGAGGGGCTCTTTATATCTCTGTGTCCCTCTGATAGTCTTCCTCATTTTTCTACAGGGCTTCCAGATTCCCAAAGGATGGAGCATCATGTACAGCATCCGTGATACTCATGACACAGCTCCTGTCTTCAAAGACGTGGATGTGTTTGACCCCGATCGCTTTGGACAGGGCCGCAACGAAGACAAAGATGGCCGGTTCCATTACCTCCCCTTCGGTGGAGGTGTACGGACCTGTCTTGGCAAACATCTTGCCAAGCTGTTCCTCAAGGTGCTAGCCGTTGAGTTGGCTAGCACAAGCCGATTTGAATTGGCCACCAGGACTTTTCCTCAGATGACGCTTGTGCCTGTGGTCCACCCGGTCGATGGACTCAAGGTCAAATTTTTTGGACTTGATTCAAATCAGAATGAAATCTTGACAGAGAGAGAGGCCATGCTAGGTGCCACAGTGTAGGCCAAATGCTTCTCTTGGCTGGGGAGGTTGAAGAGAACAGAATGGAGAATGGAAAGGAAAAAGCTAAAGCCACCACTGTTGGAGACGTGCTAACTTTGGTGGAACATATTCGGCAAAGCCTTCTCCAGCGAATACGCCAAAAACTGTGGTGGTGTTTTACTGGGAGGGGGAAGAACAGATTTCCCCTAGATGGATTCTGTTTTATTTTTTTGAACACCAATGAGAGGAGAATTGTCTTGACCATAATCAGCGTATGTATGTGTGTATATACACTTACTTTCAAGTGTTAATCAGGCAGTGACATCCCACAGTATTTGGGGACTGTTTTTGTCTGCTATTAAAAATGGCCGAGGGAATCCCCGAGCGGGCCTGGGAACAAATCAGCCGTGTGCGCTTGTGGCATGTGGGGTGGGAGGGCCTCTCCCTGCATTCATGCTTGGAGGGCAGGTTTAAAACCCATGTGGGGGGGTTATCAGAAAAATGGCTGAGGAAGCTGCACATTTTCGTGAAGGCAGAAGGCTCAGCCAGAGATCTTGACGCCTATTTTGCAAGGCTTTGGGGTGGCTCTGGAGTATGTGCAGCTACCACAACTTGTCCTCCTGAAGTTACCAAGATGCAATCTTTGGCTGTGGCTTCTCTAGCCTGGTTAGAAAAATAAAGAAGTGGAAGGAGGGAGAGTTGGGCTGTGGATTCTGAGCTTCTGTGCTTGGTAGGTGAGAAGGTTCTGGGGTTGTCTTCTCCAGGGCCCCAAATGGCCATCACTTCCAGAGCCCAGCACCATCTTCCTTGCTGAGTCTGAGGAGACCAGAGCTGGGCCATGGTCAGAGAAGGTCCTTTGAGGCTGCCAGCTGCTGCTTT